GATGAACATGTCTGATCTAGAGTCTCTAGACAGGTAAAGGGTTCATTCATGAGCTCTCCTGGATTTCCCCCAACTTTTCTCTTGTGAAATTATCATCCACTATATATATATATATATGTGTGTGTGTGTGTGTTGTGTGTGTGTGTGTGTGTGTGTGTGTGTGTCAGTCAGGAGAATGTGACATTAGGTGCGTACAGTCCTGTGGAGCTCTCAGTGAAGACAAAGGGCCAGGAGCTCAACTGTCGCACCTACATAATGAACAGCTGTGTGTACGCCCCGCCGTCGCCTCAGTACCTGCAGGTAAGACTGCTGTCACTGTGTCCATGCTCAGAGCACCTTCATGTAAAGCTGCAGGACTGATTCCTTCCTTTTTTTAATGATTTTTTTTATTGTATTACTTCATGATCCATTTAAAGCCTTGAATGAGACTCAGTTACAAACAGAAATAATGAATCTGATGGGTCAAACTAGATAATATGGAAACAATTTAGGACCAGTGAAGTAAATTAAACTATAAGCATCCAACAAGAAAAGAAAAGAAAGGAAAATTAACTAAAATATAAAAAGTAAATACCTAATATATAAAATATCAAACAGGGAAACATAATCAATCCAAATAACTAAAACCAACAAACAAAAAAAAGTTGGGCTGAACCTGCTTGATACTCAAACCCCTTTATAAAATAGGGTGTACAAGAAAAAAGAATATTTGGGGGAAAAAAGGACTGATTCCTTCCAATTTCCTCATGACTTATTGTCAGTGGTGGATGAAATACACGGATCCTTTACTAAATTAACACCTCCAATACAGAAACATGGCCATACTATATTCAAGTGAAAGTCCCACATTCACTACTTAAGTAAAAGTACAGAATGATTATCAGCAGAAAATAATATCAAAAGTTAAAGTAGTGGTTGTGCAGCAGCGTCTGCTCTGACTAATATGTTATTGGGTCAGTGATGTATAAGGAATTTCACAAAATACACAAAATAATGATTTTTTTTTACTTTTGTTCAAATATCACGAATGTTGTGTACACATAAATTCATACTCATATTTTAAATGAAGTGATTTTAGTGTTCTTTCGCCTAGATGAATTGGCCGTGGCCTTAAAAAATCTCATGTGGTGCGACAGTGAATTATTTCATTTCCTTAACTTATGCTTAACATTTTTACAGGTTCTCAGTAATATGAAGTGTTTAAAAACAAAGTATTCACTTCTTTTTAGTTTTTGTAAATAATGACCTCATATTTTGGTTGTACAATGTCACAGTCGCCATCTTAAATGTACTGAACAGACTTATTTTTCCGATAAATTGCATAAAAGTGTTATGGATGTTTAAAAAATACCATTCACTTAATCATACTGTATCAGTTTTGAATATTTCGGCCACAGAAATGAGATATTTTATTATGAATTTATATATCATTGCTATTATTGGTCAGACTACATGATATTTTGACACATTAAATGAGAGAAAAATTACAAATACCGAAAGGTTTTAGAAAAGTAAAAGTGAGTACATATATGGGAGAGTTACTACATATATATGGAATCTTTTTGTGAATTTGAACCTTTTTTCGGACCCAGACAGAAAAATTTAGGCGTCACGTCATCGACCTTATTATATGTGACATTATTAGATTTGAACTCTGATGCATCAATGTGTAAGTGACATTTTACAGTTGAAGCTGCTCAAGCAGGAGATAGTTCATCTACTGTAGATAGTGGTCTCCACAGTGGTCTGAGGGTCCTCACATGAATCTGATTAAAGGCAGAGGACAGAGGGAAAAGAAAGTTCTTTTTTTATTGACATTCACCATTGAACTGATATTTCTATATATAGTCTATAGTATATATATATACTCGTGTTTGTCTCAGATCTCAGAATACTTCTTAACAAAGTGCACGTATAAAGAAAAGGAAAACAAAATATTAAAAAAGAACCATGAACAGGTAGGAAGTGATCTTTTCTCTATAACAAAATGATTGATTTGTGAAAATAAAATCAGGCCTATAGTGAAAACCACTTCCTGGTAAGATTTTACCAGCCACCAGGCAAAGAAAGTCAGATGCACAGTTCTTCTTAGGAGACGTTCATCACTGGTTTTGATCTTTTCATGGAACTTGTTGACAAAAAGAAAAACTTTCACTCTGTTACCAGTTTATTAGGAACACCTATCTAAAACTTGTTTGCTGCCACATTATTTTCATTACCTGAGTGCAATGAATCTTGGGATAGGTTGGTCCAGGAAGAGAAGAACGCATTTGAAGGAGCTTTTGAAACGGGACAGACGGTCTTCAGATGCAGCCTCTGAAGGATGAGAAGACACAGCCTTTGTGTTAGTGACTCGTGTCCCTTGTGATTTTGTGGGGGATTCGTACCAGACACCCAGTTCATACACCTGTAAAATACTTCTATATATTTTCATCAGTGGGTCACAGGCTCAGTCACCATTCTGTTACCTCAGTCAGTGATATTATTTAAATGAAAATCTTAGAGGTTGCCACTTTATGTATTTATATACTTACATATACTTCTGATGCGTAACAGCAACCTTTTGGAGAAACATGTTTCCAAAATGTTTGTGGTCAAACCACTGAGTAGAATACAAGCATCATTTTTAGGAGCTACTTTATCAAAGCATGTGCTGAGCAGGACAATTTACTTCCTTTACTTACATTTTGCAGTTGAGAAATAAACCTGTCCAAAACATAACACTATATAACATATATAGAGACAGTGACTGATCAGCAGAGAACAGGAACAGCTCATATCTCCACTACAGCACAATTTAAGGATGAGTCTCTTATTGACTCATCATGACTGTTATATTCTGAATCTGAATCCGAACCTTGTGATGGTAGAGTTATAAGCAGCGACTGATGGATGACAGTGTAAATGACCTTTATAATGAGCCTCACTCTCTCAGTGTGATGTCAAACTTGGAGGTTTAATGTTGTTGTTTTGCATCAGGAAACAAAAGAATACGATCATGAATCAGGTCAGAGGCATCATCATCACCTATTCACTCCCACTCATTTCTCTCTGTGAAGCATCTGGAATAGGATCAGTCTGCTCACACCCCGGTCACCTGACTGTGTGATCCCCGGGTCAGAACAGTCAGGACCCCCCCCCCCCCCACACACACACACCCCCCGGCCCTGTTACGAATCACAGACCTGACAGCAGTGAGTTAAAGGACCAGATTGTTCTTTTGCACATGTGAGAGCTGGAAACATGGCTGAGAGAAAGAGGGAAGCCATGGCTTCTGCATTGTTGTCAGAGTCACCGTGGTCCTGGATCCTGATGTACTGTGGCTCAGGACAATACAGGGTCCAGTGCAGTGCAGATGTGGAGAGACCACAGTTCAGCTATCCTGCTCACTGCACAGTGGTCCATGACCTGCACAGTCTACAGTCACACTGAGTCCGGTGGGGACTGGGGATGTGGACAGATCCCTGTGGACACTGACAGAGGACTGCTGGGTAAACACAGATGATTTGTGTATTAGTCATGAAAGAGAATTTGGAAACTTGAACTTGAACCCTATTTTCAAAAACTTTAATAAAGTTCCCGATATGATGTGGTTTTATTCTGAATATCAAGACCGTCATGTTCAGAGAGGATCTTCTCTCACCACTGTGAGTCCTGAAGGTTTCTAAGAACTGAGATAAGAGAAGGGGCGGGGCTAACCCTGTTGCTATGGACATCATGTTTCTGATCTTCACCCTGCAGGTGATCAGGATGGGGGCGGAGCAGAACGGTCTGCCCATGGACTACCAGGAGAAGCTGAGAGCGATCAAGACCAACATGTACGAGGGTCCGCTGCCCATGATGGCTGAACTGGAGAGAGCCAGGAGGAGAGCTAAAGAGAGGGCCAACCACCGCTCTGATGCCTGATGCTTCAGCAGAATCTAGGTCCACGTTGTACTACAGGACAGCCCTTGTAACACTGTATTCATCATAATACTGTAGATGAACCAGTTCACCTGAGGAGGCTGACCTTAGCTCAGCAGCCAGGTCTCTGACAGAGCCCACTGATGGCTCTGTGGTCTGCACAGATGAAAATCACTGTGTCATTTACAGAGTGGAGGTGTGAGATCCACCATAACTGTTGAGTGAATATATATGACCACGAGGATCAGTACTGCAGGCTGTAACTTTCTTTTTGCTTCACTATCGTGCCTTTATGTTTTTATGGCTGAGATATTTCAGAGCCTATTTCCTGCTCGTAAATCATTATGAGTCATGGACAATTACAATAAAGGGTCATTCCACTGTTTCTCAAAGTGTCTGCCTACAAGTGCCATTCATTATCTTACATCTAGACCCCTGAACGTTGCATGGCCCTGCTGTCCCAGTGTAGGTGCAGATAGGTTTGTCCACACTGTACCAACAGTAACATAACTTCCTAAATTAACAGCATGCATTATATTATAATCTAAATAAAGTCAGTCAGTGACGGCAGGGGTATTTTGATATCTTGTTGAAATTAAGGAAAAACAATGGCTGCCTCAGAGGTTCAAAAACTTTACATTAAACATCAGCCATAACTTATAGTGAAGCAGGGGCCCCGCCGGGGATTGTGGGCCCCATGAAAAGATATCACATTGGGCCCCAACACCACAGGCCACGCCATCCTGAACATATAACCCTATGTAGACATGAATACAACATCCGGCACACAGTGGGACTCACTGTTTGATGCCAGACTATAAGAAATGTGCTGAAGGCCTCTGTGACAGTTTAAATGTCATCTTAAACCTAACTATATCATCATAACTTCATCGACTTAAATGAACCGAATACACCATGAAAACTCTAGACAGCAGTGAATCCTGCAGAACACTGAATCACCAAATGAACATATTTCAGTATGTATCAGAACCATGGAGACAGAACCTGGCAGAACCTGGGTCTGTCTCTGTGACTGGAAGGTTTTATTTTAAGACTGACAAACTGTCCAGCATCAAATAGAGACGACAGACTGTTTCATATAATGATCATCATGTGGATTTAATCATTTTTATTTACTTTGTGCCATAAACAAGAAAAACAAACCATTAGTTTACTAGGACGTTATTAATAACATATTCTATTAATGATGATAGGATAATAATTTTATTGTGATAAAACAATCATAATCACATTGAAAGAGTCTGCATGCCAGACACAAATCTGTTCCTATGAGATGTCTGTGAATGTTCTCATTCGTCCAGGTCATAGTTATGAGACATTCCTATGAGATGTAATATTTGTGACGCTACTTGTCTTTTCTCACATAACCAAGTGTAACATTATTTGAAATTAACATTAAAGTGGTTCATGTCAACAGAGAAACTATATCTACTTTGTCATTTCACTAAAGGAACAGACAGACTCCTGAAGGACTGAGGTCAAAGCAGCTCTTACAGCGCCTCACTAACTGATCTGTGGCGTTTCTCAGGTGAAATGTTTGATTGTACCAAGTCAAAATATTTTTTAATTGATTTTTTCTGTCTATATTAGATACAGAGGTGACAAGGAGCAATGAGGAGATGGATGCAGATTCAAACCAGGGTTCATGTGATTGATGATCAGCATATTAACCCTTCAGCCACAGGTGTGCCCCACCTGTGAAGCCTTCGTGATCACTATGTCTTTAATTGGTACCACTTCACAATAAGACCCATAGTTTATAATTAGGTTATTTATCTGGTTGTTAACACTTTATAAATCTTAAATTAACAATTATGAACAAGTTATAAAACAGTTTTCATATGGTGATGCAGGCTCACTATTTGGCAAGATCAAGTTAATACTTACTACTCATTGATCTTACTAATGAGTCACTACCATTTATAACCAGTAAAAGGAACCTTATAAGTGTTAAACACATCATCATTTATTAATGAGTTACCAGTTATAAATAATAGTAATTTATTAATAAGTGGTGATGGGTTTTACACTTTACCAGTTTTTTTTTTTTTTTTTTAAATGGTTGTAAAAAATGAGATGCAGAAACATGGAGCTGGATGGAGGGAGAATGAACTGAGTGAACAACAGGCCACAGAGATGTGAACAGTGGGACAAAGGATGGGTGAGCAGTTCACCGAGTAAATGAAAGTTACCACCTGTGTTCTACCTGGAGTGCTGAAGTCCTAAAGAAGAGACCAGGCAGCAAAAAGCATCTCCATTGTGCAGAACAATCTGATCAACACCTGTGATTATAATGAGGACAGCTGACTATACTGAGGATACTGAGGCCATAGAGTATGAATCTGGTCATTTGATATGATAATTTAATCTGCCAAATGAAACGTTTTGACCATTAAGATACTGACGGTAGTTAATTGCTAGTAATTTAGGAAATATGTGATGATCAGCAGATACAAATACTGGATGATGAAGAAAACACAGATATGAGGCTTAACAGTACAGATACATGTGGGCTCACTATTTGGCAAGTCATTGTTGCCCTTTTTATCTAATGTGTTATAATAGCTTATGAATGATTTATAAAGTGTTAACAAGCTAATTAATAAACCTTAGCCATAAATCCTTTATGAGGGGAGTCTTACTGTAAAGTGGTGCTCCTTTAACTCTTGGGAGTGTGACCCTTCAGTTTCAGTGAAGAATCCAGGAAACCACCTGTAACTGTTGACTTCTGCATTTAATGAGACTGAGCATGACGTATTCAGAGTGAGAGGTGTGAGGTGTTCTAAGATAGATTTAGATGGTTTGGCTCTTCTTATTTGGCCTCGTCATCTCCTCACTGTAACGTGTGCTGGGATGTCACCAGACTCTTTCTCAGACGGTCACTTCTTGAGTGTGCGCAGAAGCCTCTAACATCTACAACAAACAGAAGTGATTCAATCAAATCACAGGTTACAGTTTTAAATATTAAGACAGATGAGAGGCAGGAACTCTGTTTTAAAACCAGAGTGGACACATGGAAAGACTCAAACTACACACTGAGCTACACAAATATCTACTGATGTTTATTATTTATCACTTTACTATAAACTCTTTTGTCCCTGTCAGGATCCCGTAGGAATGATCACTCAGTTTTTCCATTGATGTGATTGGTCAGTCGTCAGGCTGTTGACAGATTCTTTAATAGGCTATTAACTTGCAGGTTAGCCCTGCTGCATCTGTTACCATGGTGATCTATCCCAGTTAAAAGGGAGCCAGCTTCACTGAAAAGCCCAAAGACAGCTAGAAGACCCACCGGTCAGGCTCCTGGTTTTCTTCTGTTTTCACACATACAACACAGATTATCAGTTCTTTTTGTTTATTTGGATGTTTTCTTCATTTAGACCAAACAAGACAGGAGTGAATGATTTCCTCAGATTTCCTCAGAGACATTCATAACAAATACATCATGAAAACGTTTTTGTCATCCTGGTTTGTCTTCCAAAGTCTCTGATAACAGTGTCATTATGTTTGAACACTGTTTAGAAGGTGACAGGATGTCGGAGCCTGTTGCTGTTTGGTGCCTCCACACTGGAACAGAGAGGATGTTGAACTTTGTTTTTGGTGTTAGACCAGGTCCAGCTGTCCCTCTGTTTGGGGCTGCGTGTCTGAAAGGCCACTACAGAGCAGAGGAGCTGTTCTGGGTTATGGAAACAGGACAGAGTATTGGCCTCCGCGAGGGTCGGGCCTTGTAAAATTCCTCGTCTGTTGATAAACCTGTCCCCTCTGCCACCCCCTCTGTGAGCCAGGCTGCTCTACAGCATGCCTCCCCAGAAACATTTCTTTTCTGGGCCTCAGAGCTGTGACGAAATCCCAAACAAACACAGCATCTGAGATGGAGGAATGTATTTGGGACAGAAAGCTGTGTTGTCTGTGGGAAATCAGGGCAAAACAGATTCTGCTCTGCTCTGCAGCTGCAGCTTTACATTCACAGAATCACATGGTCTCCAGCAGAGCACAGCAGAAGGCTCAACACTGGAAACTCCCATCAGGTCCCTGCCACACAGAGCAGGACCTGCAGAGCAGTCCAGTGTTCATCACAGTGTCCTGTCATGTGCTTCTAATGATTTCAACCATGAGAGCCATCCAGACTCCAGAGAAGATCAGGGTCAGTGTGTCAGAGGAGCAGTTGAGTGTGTGAGGTACACTCAGCTTTTAACCCAACAGATAAGGATGTTTAGCTTTTCTTAATCAGGACTTCAGATGATTTCAGAAGTGATGGATTTTTGACAAATTATTGACGGAGACTTCTTCCTGTCATCATATCATGTCCACACCATCACCTCTCTCTGGAATCTCTGCCTGCGAGTATTTCACTATCATGTCATCAGTTCTATAATGTGTAACTTTCCCACATTAAAATGTCTAAAAATAACTAGACCTGTGTTCTATATGTTGTTGAGTTGTGTTCTTACATTTTCCCAAATGTTTCCATCAATTCTCAAACCAGAGAAATCTGTGATTTTAACTGTGGTAATGTTTCATTGGTCGCCTGTCAATGACATCATATCCTCTATGATCATGTGGCAGTGTTGTCATTGTCTGACAGAAGCTTAAAACTGACTTTTATCTAGTTTTAAGTCACATTTTTCAAGACACATTTTTACACCTTGGTTTGTTTTCAACTATATATTTTAAACCAATGTAGACTGGAAATAAAATACTAGAGCAGAAGAGGTGTATCAAAGAGTAAAACCAGAAATAAAAGAAATAAAACATAAACGATAAGGTATTAAAAAACAAATAAAGATAAAGACAAAATAATCAAATGTTAAAAGAGGGGATATGTTCTGAAGTGAGTAAAACCAGAAATAAAAACCAGAAATAGAAAAAATAACCACAAATAAAAGTGGGGTATTAAAAGGGAAACAATCCAGACAATAAACATAGATGTATGGATAATTAAACAGACAAATAAATAATTAAAATTTAGAAATAACATAAATAAAATGCAATTAAAAGCCGGACTAAGAAGGAAGTAGGTCTCCACACTCTGCTGCCTTTGGGTCTTCAGGGAGGAGGAGACCTCTGTGGATAATTCAGCTGCAGGTAAAAACCTCCTGAGCCACTGACACTGAAGGAATCCAAACCAGGAGAAGCTGGAAACAACAACTCCCGTGATCCCCCACTATTGCACAATCTCACCCTACGCCATCTTTTGTTATTGTTTTGATCGAGAGACCCCTGGAGGCAGAAGTTACAGACTCTGCATTTTAACCAGGTTTCAAACTTTTTGTTTGAATGATTATGGATTTCAGTGCGGGAATGATCAAACTGTAAATATCAGTGTGGACATTTATTCTCTTACTTCAATATCCATAAACCCAGAGGTTGTAAAACTGTATGTTCATCACAGTCTTTAGAGTAACCCTCCAGAGATGATACGCCTGGCGTCTGTTACTGAGCTTCTCTGCTCCACAGACCACACAAACTACAGTGGCCCCATGTTGTTTTCGGGTTGTCCTTCCATCCGCCTGTCCCATTCTCCAGGACACAATATCTCAGTAACACCTTGACGGACCTTCTTCAAATTTGGCACAAACATTCACTAGGACTCATGGATGAACTGATTAGATTTTACTTGTCAAAGGTCAAAGGTCATGGTGACCTCACATAATGCAGTTTTGGCCTAGTGAACACAATATCTCCATAACTCCTTGAGGGAATTTCTTCAAATCTGGTAAAAACATTCACTTGGACTCAAGGATGCACTGATTAGATTTTAGTGGCTGAAGGTCAAAGGTCAAAGGTCAAGGTCACGTGACCTCACAAAACATGATTTTGGCCTTGTGAACGCAATATCTCAGTAACGCCTTGAGAGAATTTCATCAAATTTGGCACAAACATTCACTTGGACTCAAGACCAAACTGATTAGATTTTGGTGATCAAAGATCAAAGGTCAAGGTCAGTGTGACCTCACAAAACACTTTTTAGCCATTACTCAAGACTTCACACAGCAATTATGACAAAATTTCACACAGGTGGTTCATATTTTATATGACTCTGAATAAAAAGGGATGTAATCTGAAACTAGTCTGAGTGGTGGAGGCAGACAACCACGAGAAGGTGATTCCAGTTTGTTAGTGACTGTGCTTCAAGTGATCTAACTGATACCTTTGGTCTCTGACATTGTTCTTCAGTGTTTGCGTTCGTCTTCACTGAAGACATCAGACACAGGTAGAAGCTGTTTGCTGTCTGTGGTCATGGTTTGGTTGATGGTGTGGGTAAAAACAAACAGTGGTCTCCTGTGTTGTCACTGCTTCCTATAAATGATATTTATTCTATAAACACATCTAATGAAACTGGTCTGTCTGATATGAGACTGTTGCTAACACGACTGACCCAGCTGAGAACAGACTTTGTTATGTTCAGCCCTGTGGGGCTGTTCCTGTAAACTTCTTGTTAACTCTGTGTTTAGGGGTCGGAGCACGTCCACCCCCTTCATTCTGCATGAAGAGTCTGTCAGGAGAGATTACTGAAACCCAGACTAACTGGATTCTTTTAGTCCCGGCTCATTCAGTGGAGGAGACTGGGGGTCCGGGGTCTTTCACCTCTGGAACCTTGACCCCCCTCTAATATCTAGTTTTACTAAATTAAGAGCAGTGTTTTTCTTTTGTCACATCAATTAACACACATTCAGAAACAGGTATCCTGTCCCATCAGCCCACAGTTCTAAATCCTGAGCCTGTTGCCCCCCCACAGGTCCTGACAAACATGGTCTCTCATGTGGGATGGACTCAACAACAGTTAAGTGGGACACAGCAAGAATCCACACGTGGGCCATTACACAACCAGCTGCATCACCATCTGAGACTCATGGTGACCTGGATGGAAGTTTTTCTGTGGGACAGTTTCTTCAGCAGAAAAACACTGAGTCTGAGGATTATCAAGAAACCAAGCCTCGTTTCACAGAGGCACGTCTCTTTTTCACCAGAATTTGAAAATGAGAAAATGTGTTTTTATATTTGGAATAACCTTTAACCCTGACCCTATCTCATGGCATGTAGCTGTATGACTGGTCATTGTAATGTGCTGTAGTAAGTTCTAAGAGAGGTGGGGGACCTGAGTCACATGACTCAAGTCAGACTTAAGTCACAAACTTGAGAACTTGAGACAGAATATTTCAAAGGACTTTACTTTTATAAAATCAGCTCTCATGGGGAGGAGATAAGTCCAAAATACTAATGTAAAGAGACTGTTGCCTCTTAAACCAAACATTTTATGTAGATTTTAATATTTGTACTTTCTGCAATTCCAACATTGAGACCATAGAGCATCTATAATTTTATTGTAATTTAATTAGGACGTTTTGGGAGGCTTTCCAGTTGGATAACATGCAATAATCACACTATTGTAACCCTCTCATATAAAAATATAAAATTTGGTCTCCAAATGGAAAACAGAAAAATTGAGTTTGGGAATAATAATTTGATACTTTTAGCAAAATACTTTCTACATAAATGTTGTTTCTTAAAGAATACACCTTTGTTTGATGGCTATTTAATGATATAATACTATATTAAAAATATGTGAAATGCTGTTACATTTTTATTATTATTATTATTGTCATATATTAAAAAAGCCCATCATCATGTTTTGTCCCTTTATTTTTATTTATTTGTTTCTTTTTTTTCTCGTTTATTATTATTTTTCTTTGGTGTTCTTTTTATTTATTTATTTATTTATTCATTCATTCATTTTCTGTCTTCTGACCTATACTGTTCTTATTACTGCTTGCTCAATTGTTTCTATTGTTTCTGCATTTATCCTGAATGTGATTTGGGTCTTTTTGACTATTTGAAAAGATGATTTCTCACAATCAGACCAAGAAGTCCACATTTAAATTTGGCTGGTTTATTTGTGCATGAAGGACAGATCTGGTGAAGGGTACACCAAGCCTCTCACTGAATGACTGAACTTGAGCTGCTTATGTAGTATGTTGTTCTGGGTGTTGTAACTAACATCTGTTGACCTTGAGACCTTTACCTCTGTGTGTCACTTGTATTACTTCCACCTTCCCAAAAAGTGGTGTATTAGATAAACCCACAAACAACAACCCACAAACAATAATATAACAATAAAACCCATATGTGTAATGGATCCTTTGACATCCTGCTCCCCCAAAGGTCAGCAGTTTACCTAAGGTTCAAATTCTCAACATCCTTAAACCAATGTTGCCAAAAATGCAAAAACAAATACAACCTTACACTGTTTTAAGGATTGTCAAAAAATGTTTTAAAAAGTTAGGTTACAGGGGAAAAGAGAACAGAGCACAATCCACCAAGACCAAATATCATCATATAAAATATTAACCATATGTGTGAAATTGTTTTCACACATTTCCGTGTGAAGTCTGGGTTACTGGCTAAAAGGTGTTTTGTGAGGTCACACTGACCTTGACCTTTGTCCTTGAGTCCTAGTGAGTGTTTGTAACAAATTTGAAGAAATTCTCTCAAAGCATTAGAGAGATATTGTGTGTAATTTTCTCCTTGTCCACAGACACACCGCTCCATTAACACTGTGTCTGTTTGTGCGGACAGATGCACTGTCTATGTCTCTACATGTAAAATACACAGACATGTCTGTGGCGAACAGGAATTCAGATTATAGTATAGTACAGTATTATTTTTTATCAAACTGTTGAATCTAAAGTGGCTCATATAGTAAAGATAGTTGTGTGGAATCATGTGAGCAGGTGGAGGTGGATTAATTATCACACACATTATTCTCTGTATCCTGGTTTATGTTCAACCTGCTGTTTGTTATTGTGCCCTCAGACTGAAGGTGTCATCAGGAAGAACTATCTCATTAATTAATGGTTAACCAGGTTTGACTTGTTAATGAAGCCTGTAATAGTATAAAACAACAGGCTAATACCTGTGACCGTCCTGTGATAAGGGACTCATGATGATGATGATGATGATGATGATGATGATGATGACCGCCCACAAAGACAGGGATAAAACTGGACTGAATAATGGGTAACACATCGCAGGAGCAGTCATGTGACCAGCCCCTGTCTGCCCTCCCTCAGCTGCTCTTTAATAACATGGCAGATGTTGGGAACTAATTATTACCTAATGATTAATTAATAAAGTATCTCACAGTCTGTTCTGTAGTCACTCGTTGTCATCTACCACAAAGAATTAATAATAGAATTTTTAAATTGAATTACATGATTATTTTTAATCCATCTACTTCAACATTCACCGTTTCCATTTCAGTTTTAATTAAAGACAGTTGTCTTTACTTTGAAGCAATATCACGGTTAGTGATGTGGTACCCTATCAGGTTCCAGGTCCCAGATCCTGCAGCTGGAACAGCTCTGACCAGCTGTGCTGTGATGAGGAAACTGAGCTGGATGAGGTCAAGTGGACATCACAGTCCCGCTGTCATACATGACCATGACTTCAGGTCCCCTCTAACAGATATTTAGGCGTCCACACACACAGTGATCTTCACTGACACATTCATGTTGCTGCTACATGAGGCCAAGCAGCCATGTTGTCCATAAATCTCACCGGGGATTTTATTTGAGCCTTCACCTGTGTTGAACTAATAATCTGATGAATGCTGGTCAGAGGATCAGAATCATAATCATTATAAATATGAATTAATTTTCATTGGGCCACTAATGGAGGATCCTCTGTTGTAATTCAAATGTAGTTTTGATCAGTCTGCTTTCTGAATGATCAGTTTACGACTCAGCTGTAATGTCACACAGTGGAAGTCTACAGTTACACAGTGTGAAGGTTACATAACCACAGAACAATAAAAACAAACGGAGCCTTTGCTTCGGTCAGGATCTGAACACCAGCATCACAGCTGGAGAGAAGTATGTTAGTTAATGAATACAGCTGTCAGATGAGGTGCAAGTGAAGACCAGGGCAGGCTGGGATTTTCCACAGGAGACAATCCTGCTGGGTTAAAGAGCCTGGACCACTAAACTGTCATACAGGACTCGCCCAGCTCAAGGAGCAGGGATAAGACACAGACATGAATGAGAGACGGTGTCTCCAGATCCGAGCTGAACACCTGCAGTGAATTCTTGGGCATGAAGTGTGGCTGCTTGACAATGACATTTCAACACTTCATTCTCACAGATCCCATCTACACTTATTTTACATTTCAATCACTACATTTCCCATGCTCTAAAGCCAGTGGCTGATGGGAGGTGTAGTTATTCAATAACAGAAACAGTGACTCTCCTGGAGGAGGACCCTCCCCCTCAGAGTGAGCACGTTACTATTACAGTCAGTTTATAAACCCCAGGCAGGACGCGCGGTGACACAGCCTCCACACGCTGCGCTCTTTACCGCTCTCACCGCTCCCACCGCTCCCACCGCCCCGCTGACGCGCAGAGCTCCGGCCGCTGAGCTCAGACCTGGACACGTTCACAGGACTCAGACATGGAGAAAGATGCGAGACCCAGTTGGGACAACCCCATGCAGTTTGTGCTGGCGTGTGTGTCGTATGCAGTTGGACTGGGGAACGTGTGGCGGTTTCCGTACCTGTGTCAGATGCACGGTGGAGGTAAGTCACGGACTCCATACTGAGCACCGTCAGGTGCATGATTGACAAGGACTGAACGTCTGTGTGAGGCGTGAGCAGCTCTGTGGTCTCATTTACATTTTAAATAGAGAGACTGATGTGGCACAGCTGGACCTGAACAACGAGCCTCCACACTGTCACTGTATCATCCAGCATCAGTGTGGAGTCAGTGTGAGGACTGAAGCTCACACACTACACATCTCACACATCTGACAATTAGCCCATCAATCTGTATCTGAGTCATGCAGGTTGGCTGTTTCTGGTGGTAAATTTCCAAACGAATCCTTATCACACTGAATGTGCTATTGTTGAACAGGCGGTTGACTCAAAGTTGAAACCAATAAACTAAGAGCAGGTCATAAACCTGAGGTGGTGAGTGGTTGATATTAGTCAGATTTATCCAGAGTGAAGCCTGGACAGACTTTACACCCTGACTGCTGCTGGAGCTCCACAATCAGACATGGCACTGTAATATAACTATTATAAATTAATTAACATTCTTCATTAAAACAATATTATATTATTCATATTTAAAAAATTGTTATTAAAACAATATTAGAGTTTATTTGGTTTCAGCAAATTTCCCTTCACACTGACAGTCTTTCCAGCTGTTAATGTCTAAGAGAAAGAGAAAACATCTGGTCTCTCCTTAATATGAACTGTTGTCAGTGTATTTAAACTGTGTTACAGTTATAAATGTACTCTGGCACAGTGACTAACACTCTGTCACTGGCAATTAATCAGTTAATTAGAGCTCATTGTGATAAGAGCAGAGACCTCAGTTCATATTGTGAATGAGCCTGAGCTGTGAGCTGTGGAGGGAATCAGCTGAAAACATGTAGCACTGATGCATAATTCACAGGTGGAAGTTATGTAAGAATTTTAAGACTCTCAAACTCAGATGGTCCTCCTCTGAGTGAACCTCAGGGAGAGCAGAGCCTTTATTCAACCATATGTACTGGAGCAGATTCACTATTTCAGCTAACCGTTTGGATTATTATACTATTTAAAGCTCCATATTTTCCTCTTCTCCTGTGTTTTATATGAAGTGTTGATCCATAAGAAGATATATTTGTGGTTTTAAGAACCAAAAACCATCTCTGTAGTTTTACATCTCCTCTCTCAGGCTTCTCTCTGGAGCTCTAGTAACAACAGGTCAGGAAGCCAATAAGAAGAGAGGAGGCTCTGAGCCTCTCTTCTGATTGGCTGACTATTTTCTGAGTGATTGAATAAAAAATATAGCAGATTTCAGGTAAAACACTCAGAGAAACCAAATCCTGCAAGGTTGGATGGTGGGTCCAGGTGGGCTGGGTTGGTGTGCTGCTGAGGGCCATGACTGCTTAGTTGGGACATCACAAAGTTACAGAAGTCCTCACGGCTGGTTTTAAGGCTCAGTTTCTGAATACAGGCTGTGTGCATTTCTCTGTGGACTGAGCGCTTTGATACTTTCACAGTATTAATATAGAACCTAGACCTGCTTTATAATCAAAGAACATATGGACAGAGACCTTTAGACTGGATGGAGTTTTAACACCTACTGCACAAACATCCATTACTGTTTACAGCTGAGAGTTTTAACATGTGGTTTTGTTTCTTTCAAGTAAAATTTGTTTGTAATGTACCTGTGTTTTACTTTTTACCAACAAAAGCAGAAAAGATATGAAGTGATGATTCAGTTTTGAAAGACAACACATGTTCAGTGTGTAAAGCTGATAAAGAGCAGATATACTCCACTGGTTTTTACTGTATATCTGAAGATTCCTCTGTAAATGAGAAGTGTTGTTTTTACTCAGTTTTCTTCCTGTTGGATAAAACAGTGATATTATTAAAGCACAGGTCAGATGAACAGATGAACCAGGTCCCGAGAGTACCCAGAGTAGACATGCTGAATTAGAGGACTACTGTGTCTTTTTGGGTCTGTCCCGGGTCACTGAACAATGAGCACACTTCTACTGTAATTACTGTCCTGGATGTGTAACGTCCGAGCAGGAAACCAGGGGAGACATGTGACAGCTGTTCTCAAGGTTGGAAACAACTAAATGAATGAACTTTTTCTTGGTCCAGTAACTCCACAACAATGTGGTGGAATCACTATGTGGACAGAAACTGGATGTGAGATATTCAGCCTCTAATACTGTACCACTGTAGGTTCATTCATGGGGACAGAGTTTAATCTGAACAATGTATCACTGAGGTTTTTAATTTTTATTAACAATTGATAAAATACTGTAAGTTTCCAATGAAGAGCTTCTAATTATAAAGTGAAAGTGCACAATGTTCAGACCTGGAAGTTGAGCATAAATGTAGTGGTGTAGATTATAAGCACAGCTCAGTGTTAGTGCTGGAGAACAGGTAGATAGGCAAGTGTCAGCAGAAGAAACTCTCCTCAGCTCAGTCTAACACTGTTTTATACATCCATACTGTACAGTGGCAAACGCACTGCAATGGTCCAAAACACTTCCATCATAGATAGATAGATAGATAGATAGATAGATAGATAGATAGATAGATAGATAGATAGATAGATAGATAGATAGATAGATAGATAGATAGATACTTTATTTACCCCCTAGGGGAAATTCATGTGTCCATTAGCTCATTGTTGATAATAATGATAATAATAATAATAAAACAGTTGATAATAAATAAACAATAATAATTATATTAGTCTACTTCCTGTGGCTGAGGTGTTCTACAGCCTGATGGCAGTGGGAACAAAGGATCTCCTGAACCTCTCTGTTCTGCAGTGAGATGAGACGTTTGCTGCTGTAGCTGCTTCTCTGTCCTGCCAGAATGTTATGGAGAGGATGGTCGGTATTGTCCAAGATGGCCTCCATCTTACATTGCATGCGTCTCTCCACAAGAGTCCTGAGTGAGTCCAGACTACTATTATTAGTAGAAAAAGCTGCAAATTCAGAAACGATGCAGATTAAAAAAAAACATGCGAAAATACAAAACAAATACAAGAACGGAAACATGCTTCAGGAAGCCAAAACAAATACATGAACAGCAAACACGCTGCAAATACAGAAACGATGCAACAACAAAAACACACAAACCCCCATAGACTGTATGTAAGCTAACGCTAACCCTTGCTATGTTTTTTTATTTTCTCGTTTGGTCAAAGGTCAGGTCGTAGGTCTGGCCTCTCAGGTCGAAGCTTATTATGCCCAAGGTGTTCCACTTAGCTCCCCCTAGAGGCCTGGAGCACTTCCATAGTGTTTATGTGGATATGCAGCACTTTTTTCTGTTGCATTTGTTTTGGGGGTTCGTGTGTTTTTGTTTTTGCATTGTTTCTGTATTTTGAAGCATGTTTGGTTTGTTTGCCTGCAGTACGTTTTTTTGTTTGCAGTACATATCAATTGTTGTATTTGTTTTGTATTTTCATATGTGTTTTTGAATCTGCATCGTTTCTGAATTTGCAGCTTATTTCTCCTAATGTGTTGGCTGTCCTCTGAAGCTCCCTGTAAGCAACAATGTGATTAGGTACAACAGGAAAAAAGAAGAACCGAAGACCTGAAGCAAATACGCATTTATTATTAGAAACTTTATTCTCAGACTGTAGGTTGAACCTGACGTGCTGTGTAAATTTGATGAAGCAGTAAAAAACTCAGCATGCAGCACATGAAAGGTCAATGTGTGTCTCTACTAAGTGAGCCCACAAAAACTGTTGTCTGCACTTAATATGTGTCTTTTCATCAAATGTCTGTCCTTTTTTGGCTCAGAGTGCTGAAACTATCAGCTCTGACAGAGGCTGAAGGCACCAAATGTCTTGTTGACATGTTTTTGATCAGTCAGTTCCTGATTTAGATCATTGTTCCAGTTTTGGATCGTCTTTATTTAGAGATGTTGTTCAGCATTTTAGTTAAAAACAAAAGAAAGAAAGGTTGATATTTTTCTCAGCACTGAAACTCTTTGTCCACTTCATTAAAAACACAGGTTATTATGTTTTATTCTGTGATGAGCAGATGTATCACTCGTGAATCAGACCACATTTACAGAGTGTGTCTTATAGTTCACACACAAATACATATACTGACATACCTGTTTATTAGGCACACCAGTATAATGGGTTGCAGCAGCTCCGCACTCAAAGTCCTACATGTCTTTTTTTTCAAACTTACTTTATTGAATTATTTGTTTAAGAAAAGGAACAACACAACAAGAAGGGCGATATAAGGACAGACATAGAACATATATGATAATGAATAAACAATAATGAGTAAAATGAAATAACAATCACTAATAATAATAACTGATAATGATGATGATGATGATGATGGAAATAGATAATATTTAAAAACAAAGGTACAGCCCTATATAGCGGTCAACTGAGTTAGATTCATCATTCCAACTGTCTATTTCAATCTTATTACATTTCTGGAAGTTACAAAAGATGTGTCAAATGTCCCTAAACCTGTCAAGTTTGTTCTTTGTAATGTAACTTATCTTTTCTAAGGCAAAGTAAAAGGTCATTCCCTTCGACCATTGTGAAATTGTACAGGTTGTTTGTTTCTTCCATGAGTCAGTTATACAATGCTTTGCTGTTGTTGTTGACAGTGAGAGATGGTTCATTGTTATGGTCATAGTTTGTAATGTTATTGTGTTTTTAATATCCTGTCTACCTCATCAGTGTTAATGGGGAAAATGTTAGAAACCAAACTCTCTTACTGAAAATAAACCTCACAGTTGATCTTGTTTTATTGCAGGGATACTGGATTGAATTAGATTATACAGTTACCAAATAAACTGGAAACTCACTGTAGATATTACTGGATCTTTCAGCAGTCTTTGATACAGTGAACCATCCTACTCTCTGTACTCTCTGACATGGGCATCTCAGGCAAAGCTCTTTCTTGGTTCAATCGCACTGGGCCCTCCTTCTGTGTCATGGCAAGGACTAATGTCCTTATCAAATCTCCTCCTCACAGGGGTGCCCCAAGAATCAGTACTGGGACCCCTCCTCTTTGCAATATATATCACCTCCTTGGGTCCAATTATCCGCTATGGCTTCTCATCACTGCTATGCAGATGACACCCAACTATACCTGTCGCTCCCTCCAGCTGACCCCACTGTGTCTGTGCAGATCTCAGCCTGTCTCTCTGACATATCCACATGGATGAAGGAACGCCACCCTCAACTAAACCTCTCTAAGAATGAACTTCTAGTCATCCCTCCCAATCAGTTTCTCCATCACAATATAGATATATCAAAATTACCTCTTCATTTCGTACCCCAACCAAGGTCTAGAGAAACCTGAGTGTCATGTTTGATGACCGGCTCTCCTTCTCTGATCATCTTCATCCTTCTCCTGGTCATGCTGCTTTGCTCTATTCAACATCAGAAAAAACCAAGCCTAACTTCACTCAGTACTCCAATCAGCTCTTGGTCCAGGTCATGGTTATCTCTCACCTGGACTGCTGCAATCCTCTTCTGACAGGCCTTCATGTACAATGAAACCTTTACAGATGGTCCAGAATGCAGCAGCCTGTCTGGTCTTAGATCAGCCTACTTATCGACCTACACTGTCTACCTGTGACTGCCTGAATCAAATTTAACTCACTAATGCTGCCTTCAGAGAGATTTCTAGGTCTGCACCATCTACTTGAACTCAGTCATTCAGCCTTATGCTCCTTCTCGTCACTGTGTTCCTCCAAGGAATGTCGTCAGGCATCAACATCCCTGCACTCAAGACAGTCTCAGTCCAGACTGTTCAGGTCTGTGGTTCCCTGATGGTGGAACAAGCTATATGCAATCAGAGCAGTGCAGAGCAGTACTTAGAGTCACTTTGGATAAAAGCATCTGACTAAATGTAGATGTAAATGTAATATAATGTAATGTAATGTCTTCACTGTAAGAGAAACTGTGGGAAACAGTCTTTGCTTCTTGTTCCCTGTTGAAAGTATGAATGTGTAGACTGGCAGTAGCCTTCATTGTTTGTTGTGATGTTGTGTTTTCTGAATTGGTTGAGTACAGCTTTCTTTCCATCCTCAGGGGGGTTCCTGATTCCTTATTTAATCATGCTGTTTCTGGAGGGCGTGCCCTTGTTCTACCTGGAGCTTGCCATTGGTCAGAAGATGCGTCTTGGTAGCATTGGAGCGTGGACTGCCATCAGCCCATATTTGGGAGGAGTGGGTAAGTGACAGTGAGACAGTGATGAGGGAGCACCTCTGCCTCTCTGGTGGTGTGCAAGTGTGTGTCTGCTGCGTTGGCCCCATGAGAGCTGTGTGTTAGTGAAGTGCTAATTAAATGATTTAATTCTAATTATTGCAGCTGGTCAGTAATGAGTTCCAGTATGTGAAGCATTACTATTTGACTCACATGATGAACATTAATTTTTTTGGGTTAACAGGTGTGTACAGATTGTGTGAAATTGTCCTTTGTAACAGTTTTTGATTTGTTTGTACAACTCTCTCGTTTTAGGTCTTGCTAGTGTTGTGACTTCCCTGTATCTGTGTCTCTATTACAACATCATCAATGCATGGAGTTTCTGGTACCTCTTTCATTCATTTCAAGTGAGCTGCTGATTAACAACAACTGTCATTTGTTCACTGACAGATTCTGTTTCTATACAAAGAGTTGGCTCTGCTCTGCACAGTCAGATAACACACTGCACTGCTCTGTGTCCATGTCTCAGTCCGTCCTGCCCTGGGCCGAGTGCCCCGTCAACTCCAACCGAACAGGGCCCATAGAGGAGTGTGAGAGGGCCACGCCCACCCAGTACTTCTTCTACAGGGAGACACTGGACATTTCTTCTTCTATTGAAGGGAACGGAGGTGTTCACACGGGCCAGGCTCTGTGTCTCATGCTCGCTTGGGTCATTACTTACCTGTTCATTGTCCGAGGGGTAAAGTCAACTGGAAAGGTAAGAGGGTTAATTAAGTCTCACATAAGAACAACAACAAAATAACAACAACTTGTTACTCACCCACTCCCATGTGAACTTTGACCCCGGCTGCTGTGTGGCTCTATCTGTAGGTGGTGTACTTCACAGCCACCTTTCCCTACTTGGTCCTCTTTATCTACCTGATCCGGGGCGTCACGCTGCACGGGGCCATGAATGGAGTCAAATACATGTTCACACCCAAGGTGAGGTTGTGTTGGGGTTTTAGAGCGGACACACACTGTGTGTGAGGACACAGCTTAGTTCAAGTTGTTGACATTTTCCAATACAAAGTTTCTGTTTGAATGTTTGTGTGTTCCTCTTAGAACCATCAGCAGAACTGTGAAACAACAGAAGGTTATTATTAAGATGTATGTTAAAGTGTATGCTGTGTGTGTGTGTGTGTGTGTGTGTGTGTGTGTGTGTGTGTGTGTATGTGTGTTGTGTTGTGTGTGTGTGTGTGTGTGTGTGTGTGTGTGTGTGTGTGTGTGTCAGATGGAGCAACTTGCCGACCCCACCACGTGGATCAATGCAGCCACTCAGATCTTCTTCTCTCTGGGTCTGGGGTTCGGGTCTCTCATAGCCTTCGCCAGCTACAACCAATACAACAACAACTTTGAGCATCAGGCCATCGTCGTCTCCCTCATCAACAGCGGGACCTCCATCTTCGCCAGCATTGTCACCTTCGCCATCTACGGTTTCAAGGCCACCATCAACTATGAGAACTGCCTGGAGAGGTGTGTTAATGTGTGTATGTGTGTGTGTGTTAATGTGTGTATGTGAGGGCACCCTGTGTGTCTTTAAACAGTCCACAGATGCTGTGTATATGTGTATGTGTACCTCAAAGCTGCAAGTAAGTTTGTAGTTGGTTTTTTTGTGGTCATTAGTTTTTAATTGATGTAATTCAAAGTTGATAATAATTATGAATTAAATGTATGAATGATAATTGACAGAGAGACACAGATACATGACATTAATGGAAAAGAAAACACAGCCTCAGTAATCCCATCAGATACAGAGAGCAGCAGAGGATGTTGAGATTTTTAAAAGCACCTCAATTATTTATTTATTCTATTCTATTCTATTCTATTCTATCTATTTATTAATATATACATTTTAGGCAGTTTACTGTTAGGTCCTTTATTCTATTTTTATTTTCTGGACTGATTTCCTTTTGGTAACTGGTTTTACTGACTTCAGTTCTTTTCCTGTGTTTTAGTATTTTATTATTTTATCTTTATCTTTATGGTGATAAAGCCCACTCAAGGGCAGCAGCAGGGAGCGGCAGCAGCAGAGGGAAAACAGATCTATTTTTTTAACTTCTTCACATACTGGGCTTCTCTCAGACCTGACAGCAGAGAGCCGGTTCACTGTGGGTTGTTTGTTTGTTTTTGTTCAATCCGTAAAGTAATTGTTAGCCACTGGTCAGATGGAAATTATAACTGTACAAAAACATGTTTGATAGAAAGAGACTGAGACGCTGTCAAAGATCAGCAGCCACATGTGCAGATGGAACAGACAGCCACTGAGATCACAAACTGTGCAGTGAGGTAGATGCAGTAATAACAGACAGAGAGAAGCAGCTGAGGTGGTCGTGTGTGTGTTTGTGTGGGTTGGATGTGTAAGAGTAAAGTGAATTTTTTCAGCTTAGTAAGTGGTGATGAATCAAAGGGCTGGAGGTGGACATGGAGACACAGTCTGTGGGTCTCTGTGCTTATCATGTTTTTTTGGCTGGAACGCAAGCGTGGGATCAGCCTTGTAATCTGGAATCCCACTGACTGACTGAGTGAGTGATGATATTTCCACCACTGGTCAGCAAAGTGCCAAGCTGCTCTGGTTTCCCAGCTGCTCAGGAACTTCAGGGAAGAGGAGGAGTGCTTCCAATACACCGAGCCTCACCTCCATTACAGCAAATAAACAACTTTCATTACATGTATCATTATTGTCATTATTATTGCTGCGCTCTGTGTGAGAGACTAAATAAGAAATATAGTCTCAGGCCCCGGTGCTTCACCTGGTGGAGTGTGTTACAGTGGGGTTTAGTCCTTGCCGCGGTGACTGGGGTTCCTGCATGTCATCCAGTCAAAGGCAAAAGCCTGAAAAATTAACTTTAAAAACGAAAGACAGTCTGTCTCTTCTACTTTCTCTCTGATCATTTTACAGTAGACACAGCTGAAATCACAGCTCAGTCTTTGTCTTTCATTCATCAACTGGGAAATGGCTAAGCTGGGTAAACGTGATGTCTTCCAGTTGAACTCTTGCACAAAATCTGCTCAGTGTTTAATGAGGAGGTGTTTGAGTGGCCAGTCCAGTTAATGATACAGTGCGGCTGACTGAAACTTCAGGACCTGCTGGTGCTCTGGTTTTTGAAGGGTGGACAGTTTGATTCTGGGTCTGTCTCAGACGGCAGATGAGTGTATGACACTTGCCCTCAGTGAGACAGCAGTGGTAAACCTGAGAACTACACTGAATGATAAAAGGTACTGCAGGTGATTAATATTCTGGGTCAGGTCTGAGGTCTGGGTTGAGGTCGTGAACTTTTCATGTAACGGTCCATGTCTTCCTGCTCCAGGACCCGCATCCTGCTGCTGAATACCTTTAACCTAGCAGAGGACACCATCACCATGGACACGGTCTTTGAATGGACTGAGAAGCTGAACGCCACGTATCCGCAGCAGTTTGCTGAGATCGCCAACAAACTGGAAACCTGTGACCTGGAGAGTGAACTAGACACTGTACGTCCCTCATCATTACACTGTTCTTACAGTGATACACACTGAACACCCTAATATTTTATATTATTAACAACAATGGATTCGCACACTGTGAGAGAGAAAAGGGTCTCCTAATAACTGGTGCGGTTAGCTCAAAGTTCAGTTCATACAGATGAAAACAAACTAGTTCACATTCATTTGTTCCATATATTTTAATAAAAAGGCCGATATTCTTTTTCAATAGAACCTCCTTCTACCCATCTATGGAGACGTTATGCGGCGTGCCATAAAACGTGAGTTAAAAGTGTCGTAAAACATTCACGTTCATCATTTGTAAACTGATTCGTTCAGTTCAGCGTTCACTAAAAATATGAATGTGTTCAATGAACGCCACCTCATGATGGTGAGGTCAGACTCATGAAGTAGTGCAACAGATAACTGCAATAATCTTTCAAATGTGGTACTAAACAACTAAGGTACTAAAATTGGTATGTTTATCCCTTTGGGGCCATTCACTTGAAAAATCCCATTAGCCACTTGAAATTTCTAAATTTCAAGATGGCAGCCATTTCTGGCATAGGAAACATATATTTTACCACAGACTTTTACCCACAGGACTGATTGCACTGATTTTGCCATGTAATCCTAATAGGATGTCAAATTCACAACTATTAAATTTCTTCAGAGCTTTATTTTTCTATATGTTATGTGAAAAATTCTGCATAAAAAAACAATGTATTTGCAAACCATTTATTATGAATGATGTACAAAACTTGTTTACTTCTCTTAACATTAGCTCACTAGGCTAACTCGCTAGCACAAGGCTAGTTAGCAAGCTTTTTTGTGAGTAATCTTTTTTTTGTTGAGTAATGTTTTTGCTGAAATATACCGCACCACTTTACAATAAGACTACCTTACAAAGGATTTATAAATGGTTTATAATTATTAATTTGGTTGCTAGTACTTAAATCATAAAATCATAAAGCTCAGCACTTTGCTGAACAGTGGTGGAAAATCATCACTCACTCAGTCAATCAGTGACATTCCAGATCACAAGGCTGATCCCGCTCTTGGGTTCCAGCCAAAAAAATACAGACTGTGTCTCCATGTCCACCTCCAGCCCTTTGATTCATCACAGTACAGAGAAATGTAGGCTCACTATTTGGCAAGGAACAGGTCACTGTTGTCCTTTTTATCTCATGTGTTATATCAGCTTATGAATGATTTATAACAAGCTAATCAATAAACTAGTTATAAACTTTTCATAAGTCCCTTATAAGGGGAGTCTTATTGTTAAGTGGTACCAAATACACTTTCATTTTTTACAGTGTACTAAATTTTGCCTTCTACATTGTTAAAATGTGCGATTTGATACCTGGATTATTCATATGAGAAAATACTGGATGAACTTTATCATTAATATCATTTCCTTGACAGAAATGGCAGCCGCCTTCAATTTTCAAGTGGCTAACATGTTTTATCAAAAGAGTAATACACAAGGAGGATTTGTGTCAAGTTTACCATGTGTATCCACATTTGAAAGATTTCCCTGGAATATGCAGTTATCTGCTGCACTAAAATCCCTCTCACCTGTGTAGTATGTTCACTGTTAGCACGTCTTTATACAGAGCAGAAGGTTGGATCTACTGGTGTGGTGGAAGTGTTAAATTCAGACGTTACAGTTGTTAACCTGAGCTGTTAGAAGTGGATGAGAATGGATGCTAAGCCGTCTGATTTGTTAAGGGTTATTATTCTTGGCAGTTTTTACCTTTAACAGATCATGTGACACTTCCAGCTGTTCATTAACTTTTGAGAGTGTGACCAACTTCAAGTGCAGGATCTCTAAGAACCATTCATTCCCTCTGACACTGCTGCAACACTGGAACAAGTGATTTTTTTCATTTCATGAGGGGAAGTTTGATGCTTATTGTTCATGTATGGACAGTTTCAGATGTGTAGAGGGAGGGAACATATCTGGTGTGTGTGTGCGTCCCCCCCCCCCCACCCCCCCACCCACACACACACACACACACACACACAAAAAAATTAAGTATCTATCTATCTATCTGGCTATCTATCTAAGAGCTGAGTTGATGCTTTTTAACCAAGAGGAGGAGGACTCAGTGGAAAACTGAACTGAAAACAGGTGGTTAGTTAATTTTGTGAAAACTGTAGATTTTATACAGTTATAGAAAGAGATAACTTCCTCAGTTTAGTTCTTCTGTGGTTCTGTGGATTGTAACAAAGTTTAGATTACATCACTCTGACAATGTGGAGGATATGTTGGGTGTATGTCAGTATTTAAAGGAGCTATTTGTGAGTTTTGCTATTGCTACATAGCTAACAATAGAATTAACAGCTGTTCAGTCTTGACAAGAGCTTCAGTCGTGTTTACAATATAAAAGGTTATAATATGTTTTTTCAGGACAGACTGGACACTACAGTGAGTCAGTATCAGAAAGTGACGAGATGTAGGTTAGCATGCTAACTTCAGTGGAAGAAAAGACTAGAAATAGAAATAGAAGCAAAATGAGTTAATATTGGTGTTTGTTTCCACCTCTGGAGACAGCTGCTGGTGAGTAAAGGAATGGAGTTTGATGCTGTGCTCACAACGTATCTTCTAGACTGGTAAGTAAACAGCTGCTAAGGCTAATACTGGCTATGTAGCAATCGCAAAACTTACATATTGCACCTTTAATATTCCCCATGTTGATTTGAGTTTGTAAAGATCCTCTGTATCCAAACAGTACAGGTGAGCTAAACAGTTTAAGGTTTCATTAGTGTGTGTGAATAATAGTACATCATCTGCATAAACACAGAGGAAGAATTGTCTCGTAATTTAAGATAGTCTTAATGTTTGGGATTCGTCCAGTTTCTCCTGCCAGTGCTTCAGGTAACATGGTGAAGAGTGAAGGAGACACAAGACATCTTTACCTGTCCAAAGAAGACTTTGACTTGACTTATACTGACTGCTGTTGGTCAGTTAAAACAATATATGGAACAAAAGAAGAAGAAAAAGTCCCAGTGAGTTTTAGATAAAGAGCTGCAGGCAACAGGCTGCCTCACACAAATTATACATCACCAAGGTTAACAGTACCTTTAACCAAGCAAGCTGACCTGACATATAGAAAACCATTCACAGTACAGGATGTGGTTACCTGTCTCAGAGTGGTTATCTCAGGCCTGTAGAACTGTTCTGTTAGCCAGTTGAGTTTCCAGTCATTAACTCTGTCTCTCATCTGTTCCAGGCAGTGGAGGGGACAGGTTTGGCCTTCATAGTGTACAGTGAGGCCATTAAATACATGCCAGTGTCCCAGCTGTGGTCAGTGCTGTATTTCGTTATGCTGCTGCTGCTGGGGATGGGCAGCATGCTGGGAAACGTCACCGCCATCATCACCCCGCTGCGAGACTTCAAGATTGTGTCCTGCATGAGCAACGAGTTGTTCAACGGTAAATCCAGGCTGATGATGATGGGAGATGTTGTCTTCACCATCATCATCCTTGTGGGCATCAGCCTCTACTAGTGGTTTAAATGACTCTGAATTCCCCAGGGGTCCTCATGCCCCAGTTTGGGAACCACTGGTTTAAAGGAAGCAATTTCACTGTGACAGTTTGGGAAATAACATTTTTACCATGGTTCTGGAGCTATGAGATGTTCCTGTTGGCAAGACAGACACATTTATCTGTTTGAGTTCACCTCAGCCAATCAGATTTTAAGATTTAATTTGTCCCACATGATTGTGACCAATCAAAGGATGAACTGACCCAGAACCCAGAATTAAACACTGTGAGCTTTACTGTCATTTGATGAAAGATGAGGGTTCATTATTAATTTTGTTCAGACAGCAGGTTTAAATAAATAGACTTTACTTAGAAAGAATCAATCTGTAAAGGAATAAGAAAATAAATGTGGAAATATAAACAGGAATAAATAAGTGTTTAAAATTAAATAAAAAAGCTTTATTCTTATTCTTTAATTTAATATTTAATAATATCAATATTTGCACATTATATATTGATTAATATTAATAAGTGAATATTTAATATTTATAAAATTAATGTAATATTTATCAAAAATGCTTTTTGCTTTTGCAATAGGGCAAAGGCATTTTTTATTTAATATTTAATCATATCAATAAATGCATATTTATTATATAGAAATAAAAAAATATTTAATATTTATTTATTTAAATGCTTTTATCCAATGTTTTATTCTCTTATTTAGTTTTATATGATATTAATAAATAAATATATATTATATATTTAATATATACAATCATATATATATAACATATCATGTTTATATTTCTACATTCATTTTCTTATTGTTTCATAGATTTTGTTTTTTATGGCATGTCTATGACTCCATGATGTTGCTCTGCAGTGACTGTACATGGATGTGTGTCATTGACTGAGTGTGTGTTACCCGCAGGTTTAGTGTGTCTGTTCTGTCTGCTGCTCGGCCTCGGCTTCACCACCCCCTCAGGGAACTACTGGTTCACCATGTTCAATGACTATGGAGCCACGTTCTCCCTGCTCTTCATCGTCCTCATCGAGGTCATAGCTGTCAGTTACATCTACGGGATTAGAAGGTTTGTGTTTCTGTGTGTCTCGGTGTTTGTGTGACTTCAGTTGCGCTTGTTTTGGTCCAGCTGGGAACCATAATCGGCAGGTTTTAATATATTATCTCTGATTGTAGGTTTGAAAAAGACATAGAGGACATGCTCGGTCATCGTCCCAACTGGTACTGGAAGATCATGTGGGGGTTCACGAGTCCTATTCTCCTTATCGGCCTCTTTATCATCTACATCGCCAAGTACATCCAGGGCGGGACGCCCACCTACCAAGCATGGAACAAAGAGCTGGTGAGCTTTGCTTTTGTCTCCTCTGATACTCGTGTCAGTCTGTTAGTTCACCTGGTCAGGGCTTGTTGTTTTATATATGTATATATATATACAACAAAACATTAACCAACATGTACATGTACAAAGGTTTAGACTTCTGCTGCTTAGCTGTGCTGTGCTGGGTGAGGTTAGGCCCAGTCAGTAAACGTCAACCAGTGCTTGGAACAAAACAAAGAGGTCCTTTCTTGTGTTGTTGTAAAGACCAGTGAGGTGGGTGGCTTCCTGGTGGAGTGAAGTCCTGTGTTGCTGTGTGGCTTCCGCTGTTTTCTCATTTTCTAGCTGTTCCATGCTAACTCTGCTGTGACTCCTGTTGCTTGGAAAATCAGCTGGCAGACTCAGTTGCCGTTGGCGCTGAAGTGAAATTGTTCACTCTTTGTTGAAAAGCAGAGTGAGCAGGCCTGCAGGAAAGCTGTTGTTCCAGGTAGCCTTGTGCTGACCTGGTGCTGTGAGCTTTGTTGGTCCTCGAAGAGCCGAGAGGGGAGAAGGAGCTGCTGCTCTTTAGCAAGCCAAAGAGAGAAGAGAAATGACAAAGAAGGAGATCTGGTTTTGTCTGGGGACACCCTGGGGGGTCACATGTCACAACATGTCACCAACACTGAGTGGTCAGTGAGGTCACTGGGGGAGGGTCGTCCCCAGGTGTGAACGGTGAAGAACTGTGGGGAGGTGCGTTCCTCTGTCTGTGTCTGAGTCCCAACAATATCCTGAGCTGACAAACAGTCAAACAAAAACAATTTACAATAGATACAGGTTTATACAGAGGTAACAGCCTGTAATGGTCATCACTGATCTGAAAGCTGACGTTAGAATGAAAGTCATTTAGTTTGTCCCCTCCCAGTATGTTTTTGGGTTGTACATCCATCCCATTCTCAGGAGTGTGATATCTCAGCAACGTCTTGAGGGACGTTCTCAAACATTAAAGCTCAAGGTGACCGAGCAAAACACATCGTCGGCCTCTTGAATGTAATATCTTAGGACCACCCGGAGAGAATTTCTTCATATTTGGCACAAACATTCACTTGGATTAACTGATTAGAATTTGGTGGTCAAAGGTCAAAGGTCAAAAGTCACTGACCTCACAAAAAAACAGTTTGGCCCATAACTTAAGAATTTATTCACTAATTATGTTTATATCCGATGTTTATATCCAAAAGGTCAAAGCTCAACTTCACTGTGACATCATCATGTTCTACATAAACACTTCTGGTCATTATTCAACACTGTAGCAGGTGTGTGTTTTGTAAGTCCCTGTGTCAGAGGCTGTGACCATATTTCCTGTAACTTGGCTGGTTCATGGAGGAAACAATCAGGAGGCTATTCTAGTTTTTTATAAACAGTGGTTAGAAGTCACAGTTTATTATATAAGAGTGAGCAGCAGAGTGGTCATTTCTCAGGTCTATTGTAAGTTGTAAACAGTATTATTTTAATGCTGATGTTGAAGAGAGTCTAAACCTTGTACAGTGACAACTGTCTCTTATTATATTCTGTGACATGCCTAATTTCAATGCTCTGTGAGTTGTATAAAATATGAAAAATGGTCAATAAAAGAATGAAAATAAATATTTGATCATTAAACATGGTTAGGACATCCTACCTGCAGTTCAGAGACTGTCAAAGACCTATCAGTGTCAAACAGGGACATGAACCAGGTTTCTAATCCTGAACATGATTAAAACCAGGATCAGACAGAACAAGTGTGAAGATACTGACAGATAATACTGAGGTTTAGTGAAGTTAATGAAGTTAATAAAATTATTATGGTTGTTGGGAATATTACGAGATCCGTCCCCTCAGCCCCGGATGAGACCACCAGCTCACCGTTTCACCATCAGAATCAGATCAGACCAGATCTATTTAGCAGCACATGAAGCTCCAGTCAAAGGTCAGTTATGAGTCTCCAACAACATGAAGAGCTGAGAGGGATAAAGAGCATTAGGTCAGCGTTAATGTTATACAACAGACTACATGATAATATAGAGTGAGCTGAGGAAGAGAACCACCGTCACTGCTGCTTTAAACCTGAACAGACTGATGCAGAGCTTCATCAGACAGACAGCGGGCCCACATCTACTGCTCATCTCCACTGCTCCTTAACTGGATCTGCCTTTTAATGTGTGATGGTGTAACTACATCAACTGCACAGAGGAAACTGTTTGAAACAGCCACAGTGTATTAACATTTTAGTGACAAACAACCTGGTGGTTGAAATGTGACTGTTAACAGTCAATGTGGATGGTTGACTGTTTCACATTTTGTGATTCTCTTTCTTTGACTCCTTGGCCAGCGTGTTTCCAAAATCCTAAAATAAGTAGTTTTAGACTTAATCCTTAAAAGCCCACATAGACAAAGACACGCCTGGACGTAGTTTTATATTTTTATATTTTTCAATTCTGAGCTTACTCCTTCAGTCAGCGTCATGTGTTATAGCCTACATGATATGATTAAGGAGAAGCTACCCTTTTCTTTCTGGTGCAATGTATCGTCACCATCATGCATTACCTTTGTGTGAGCACAAAATATTTTACAGAAAACAAAAAATGCCCGATGAAAAAAGCTTGTGTTTTGTTGAATAACCTCATGGTCAACCAGGGAATGAAAAGTTGTATTTAGGTGTTTTGGAGCTCCATGGGACGTTTCCTCAGTGAGTTACAGGTCAGTATGTGCACCTCCTAGTGACACTTCAACACTAAGGGCCTAGTAATGCACCCGCAATATACTAAACATCAAACATCATTTTAAGAGTTGGAAAATGTTCATGTGAATAGTTTTTGGTCACTTTGAAAAACACTGAGGAACAAGATGTTTTGTGACTTATACATTGATGTTCAAATACAGACTCTTGCAGTTTGGTTTTGGTGTTGGTGGAAGGTGTTGCCAGGGATTGGGGGAGGGGTACAACAGAATTTGATCAAATCTGAATCCAGTTCTGAATCTGCTTACTGAATCTCTTCAGATGTGGTGGGGGTGTTTGCTCCCCACTAGGGGCTGTGCTACAGCTGCAGAAATTAATTCATTTTTGCTACAGGTCACAGAGTCTAGTGTAAGACTGATGACAGTCTGAGGCCAAACACTCGTTCTTCTGAAGTTATCAAAAAATAACAAATCCAGGTTTTTTACCCACTTCTAATCCAGTGTGGAAATGTCTGTTGGAACCACCATGTGAAGATCAGGGGCCAGTTGCACAAAATACCTTAAGTTTTCTACTTAAATATGACACTTAAGGTTTAATTTCTCCTTAGCTGAGGGAGTTACTTAAGGGTTTCGCACAGAGTCTTTAGTTAAGGGGAAAAGTTAAGGCATTTGCAACAGTGAAAGATCTTACAGTGGTAAAATTCTACTGTTTCCATGGAGACTGTTCATTTGCTGCCATTAGCACTTCTGAGCAATCGTTGAGCTGCAGAAAGTAGAGTGATCCAACTATAGATGATCGGACAAATCCTCAACTGACAGATGGTCAAATATGTGATGTAGAATCAGTTCCACTCTTCTTGGGATGTGTTCATGTTCTTCATTTATCTCCATAAACTCAGTCATGTTGCAGTTAAGACAGAGTCAGAGGTGCCTTTAGTTTTCTTCCATACTTTGGTTGCTAAGGTCTCAACTGACTTCAAGTGATTCCTTAAGTATAAGACCAAGATAAGGAAAAAACCTTAAATTCTGCAGTGAGCATTTTAAGGAAACATTAAGGAGAAGGGTGTTTAAGGGTGTTTTGTGCAACTAAGGAAAATCTTAAACTAAGGTGTTTTGTGCAACTGGCCCCCGGCTTTTACTCTACAACCTTCCTACCTCTCCACAGGTTGTTTGTTGTGTAACGAGTCTGAGGTATAATGGAGGGCAGGTGTGACGTCTGGCCAAGCTGCTTTAATGTCAAGTTACTTTTATTCAGTGTTTCTACTGGTTCTAATCAGCTGCTCTGTTTGTTGTGGAGACGAGGACACCTCTGTGGATAATTCAGCTGCAGGTAAAAACCTCCTGAACCACTGACACTGAAGGAATCCAAACCAGCAATAGAAGACAACAACTCCCATGATCCCGCACTGCTTCACGACATCACCAAACACTGTCTTTTGCTATTGTTTTAATTGATGGACCCCAAGAGGAAGACGTTACAGACTGTATTAAACATAAATGCGATGTTGTGCCAACATGAGCTACAACTGCGTCAGCCCCACAGATGACTGATGAGTTGTAAAGGCTCCTGTGTGAAGACAGGTGTTAACTGTACCTGTTGTCTCCTCAGGGCAAGTCAGTGGTGACGGAGTATCCTGTCTTCGGTCAAGTCTTCATCGGCCTGCTGCTGGTGTCGTCGGTCAGCTGCGTCCCCCTCACAGCTCTGTACGTCTTCTGCAGGAAGAGGAAACGCGGGAACCATCACAAGTGGGAGCGGAGCGTGAACACGGTCTCGACTTAGTGACAGAAGGCGACGGAGCCGTCCTCCAGCTGAACTCGGCAGCATCACTCATCTCCTGTTAACATGGAGCGACTGTGGCATGTGATCAGCTGGTGTCTGTGTTTTCTTTCCACTTTCTTCTTCTTCACTGTCACCAAATGTCTCATCATTGAAAACGTTTGGAGCTGATCTCACCGAGGAGCAGGAGACACGTCTGCTCCTTTAAAAACTAAACCTGGCTTCTTCCCAGTGAATGTATTATTGCATAATTTCTCTCAGTGTTAAAGTCACCCCACCCCCACCCCCACCCCCACCTCCACCCCACCCCACCCCCCAGTCTCAGTCCCCCACAGCTGAGCCGTGGACCATGTTGTTAGTGTAGATACAGTTTGTTTAGCTGTAACTCAGTGTTTCATATGACACTAGTTTACTAAATGTCATTATATGATGAATGTATGTAGATATGTAGTGTACACATGTAGTGTTTGAGTATGTTAGTTATTTTTCATATCTTATACTCAAATAAATGTTGTTTCATATTCAGCCTTTAATTTTAATTCCTCCTCTCAGCGGGGCCACGTCCAGTTCATCTGCAGAAATACTAAACCCCACAGTGAGAGTGGAGTCCAGCAGGAGGATCACAGAGGGTCCAGGTCTAGCAGCATCCAGCGTCTTGTTTCAGGACTTTTCTAACACTGAGTCAGTATTGTGAGAGAAGGAGCAGTTCACAGAGCCAGAACCAAAAGTCCTGCAGAGCTGCAGAGTACCATGTTGGACAGACTGACTGAGGTGTAGGTCTAATAATAGCTTGTATTGAGTTGTGTGGTGAGCAGATTTGTTCTGCGTTCCCTTTGTAAGAAGGTTGTACAAATTACTTGTTTTTCCTACATATGAAGTATTTTTTGATAACTAGTTTTGTACCTGTTTTAAATGCTGGCGTCTGCTTTCAAACCCTCTGTAAGAGAGTTCAACATCAGGTCTGTGTGAACCAGTAGTGGAGCTACTGAGCCAAATATAAATGTAATATTTGCTTTGTACACCCTCTAACCTATAAACTGTACATACTGTAGATATGTGTGTTATCCAATGGTCTAATCATTACAATCAACTAATGTGACTTTTTTGTGCTGTTGTTTAAATGCAATGTTAGTTTCTCCCACAGACAATGAACTGCCATTAAAAAAATCAATTAACATAAAACATCTCATGAGTTATTAATTAACTTCACATCTTCATCTTTCTGTATCTGATCTGTTTATCCTGATGGAGAAGAGCAGACGCTGGTGTTCATCGTGGACCTGCAGCCTGTGCTTCATCGCGATGATGATGTAGTTGTTATAAAATGAGCTTCAGTCACATGATGCCAGGTGGTTGATGATGGGGGGAGGTGGCATGCTTCATTGGATGAGCTTTGATCTTTTAAAGATAATAAGTAATAATACATTCTATTTATAAGCACCTTTCAATGACATTTTACAACTCACAGTAAAAGATCAAATACAAGTACAAGCCATAAATTACAAAATAAATGTAATTGTATAAAAAATAAATATGATTAAGCACTGGTCCTGGAGTTAAACAGAATAACTAATAAATGCATAGGGTATTATTGCACATGTACAGGATAGGGTTGAACTTATTAGCCTGATATTCAGCACTTTAGTTCTCTGATGCCACTTGGGTAAAAACTTGCCAGTAATCACCTTCCAGAGGGAATTGGATTTGAAAACAGGAAGAGAGTCAATATTACTGAAGTCTTGTGGGAGTGAGTTCCAGAGTCGAGGGGCAACACATCTGAAGGCTCTAAACCCCATGGTGGTACAGTGAGATGAATAGAGGGGGAAGATCTAAGACTGTGGGCAGGTGTGCAGGTGTGCAGGTGTGGAGTAGATCACAGATACAGAGGTGTTTGGTTGTGAAGTGACTAAAGTGAGAAGCAGAATTCTGACCCATCTGACACCTGGTACCTGGCCATGACAGCTTCATCTAACACATCAGTAACATCAACCTACACATCACCTGAGACCATAGAGAGATGTGACCAACCCACTGAAGCTTCATACAGGTGATCAGGTCAGGTGATGACTGGGAAGTTGACTTGTGATTAGTTTTGTCGAACTACACAAACAGACAGTTCGATTGATTCACTTCTAAGTATCTTGTTTGATTTGACATCATCAGTAAAGAATGAATAGGATCCACTTCCTGGATTTAAATCCTAGTTTTACTCCTATGACTCTTTACAAGCTACTGCACAACCAGAAACTTTTGACAGGTTTGAACTGTGGTAACCCCCCAGCAGGTCTCTCCTCCTGCTCACTGAGGATAATCTGAGCTGGCATTTTAAGCTTGTTGTTGTTTCCTCGTCATCTGATCAACATCACAGCAAATACTCCACAAAAACAAGAAACAGTACTAAAGGAGAACAAGAAATAACAGTATACTGAACTAATGCCACACTGACATACCTGGTTTCAACAGTGAAAGGGGGGGTTGATGAGTATCAAATAACAGCGTTTTATTATTTATCATTTATTATCAGTAACACCTATGTTGGTAAGGAGAGGACATCATGGCTGGAAATAAAAAGTCTATGGTTGTGTCTGAAATCACTCACTCCTCCCTTCTCACTCACTATCCAGGGAGTTCAGAGGACTCATGAGCTCATCAGTAAAATGGAAAAACACTTATGGACACAAATTTTCTCCACATCATTTTTCTGTCCTTCAGCATGAGTGCAATGCATTATGGTACATATTGCTTGGTTAGTAACCATCCATTGTGGGATACTATGAGTCCACTGTATAGGGTATAATAATTCTCACTATACATTCAGACAGCACTACAAAATGGTGGAGTATAGTTAGTAGTGAGTGATTTCGGACACCTAACCCTAAGAGTTAATCAGTCTAATTAACCAATCAGAATCAACTTTGTCCAGTTCTGCTCTGAAACTGCTGAGTCATGGGTTGCCATGGTAACTAGGGCCCCCAGGGGGACGGGTCAATACACAGACACACCACCATGTATCCCTAGACAGATAACAGTTCAAAAGTTAAAATCTCTCATCAAAAATGGCCTCATAGCTCAAAAACCACAAGTCCTATTGACAAAACCTCTTCACGATGAGTGTCTCAAGGCTTTAATAGAGAAAATGATATTTTATGTGTACCTACTGTTTACTGTTGAGGAGCTGTCATAGTGTAAAAACTCCCTTTGTCTCTGTTTTTGACAGGAACATCAGAGCTGGGTCTGAGACTGGACAGCTCTCTCTGCACCAAGGGGGGATTTCTACAAAAACTACTGGTGATGTCACAATGAGACCAACACTGGGTGATAGAGGACAAATTTATTCACGTTTTTATATATAAATTATCCATGAAAGTTGGAAACTGGGATTTAAAAGAGATTTGTCAGATTCTTCGGGGGGAAATTTTTAGGGCTGGCAGTTAGAGTGTGTGTGATGAATAACAATGTAACAGTTTATACAACAGTTAGTTCCAACCAAGTAATTTGATTGGATGAGAGTCATTCCATGAGTGCTGATATAGAGCACAACAGCACTGGGACTTTTAACTACATGTATCACTTCACTTCACAGGTGTTCTATTAACCGTTAATTAGTGTATATTAACAGTCATTATCCATCTTAAATTTTAACAAACTTTGTGAAGATGAATATATTTCCAGAAATAACATTTGAATTGATGATGTAGGGGAGGAAAGAAGCCAGGATACTTCCGTGCACACCTCAAGTTGTGCTTATATGACATCGTCAGGTCAGGAAAATGTCTACGTGTTGTTTAGCAACAGTACAGTTGCGGAACTATTTTTGTTTGTAAATGATGAAATAAACAAACAAATCATAATCTGTTGATTCATATTACTGTTAAATAATATGGCGCTCATAGACCTGTTGTCGTAACCAAGTCACAGTCATGCTGATATTCAGTGCATCACTCCCGCTCGTGTGATATTGATTAAATAACTTCTGTGCTGCACACAGCAGATACGCTCTATACTGTTTTATTGTTATATTGTCATATTATTACTGTTCACATTATAAAACAATAAATGGAGGAAACTCTTTTGTGCATCATTTACTGTCAGATCAAGGCTGTTCAAAGTATCACCATCATTACTGAGTCTAATCTGATCAATAACAGAGACGACCTGATAATGGGATCTGAAATACACTCCAGTATAAACATGACTTGCTGTTTCAGGAGGCTCCAGCAGAAAGGAGGTGGAGAAACTACAGGAAATAAGATCAGTGTTGGGGAGAAGTGAACTCCATATAATTAATACATTTGCTAGTGGTTCAGCTACATTCATATGTTCATAGTGATTCAAATAGTTCAATAACTTATTTTGGCCATTTTTGTGTAGTTAACCACTGAAAATACAAACAACTTTGGGCCATAAAAGGAGAGGAAAATATATATTTTTTGTAATTTGTTTTTGTGGATAGTTGAGACCATTTCACCAGTTACAGAAATATCGCCTTGCAGAGTGCTACAGACACAGAGTAGTAGAAGTCAGCAGCAAATGAACAGCATGGCCAAGAACCATTCCTTTCTCAACATCCTTTTCCTTTTTTTTTTTTTAAACAAAATGTATTCAATAGAATTTCCAATAATTATCCAACAACAATCTGAAAAAAAGGATGTATTTTAACACGTGTGCATTAATGTGTTGGGAGACAATCCAGTGAGTTATCAAAATTTCAAGACAGAAAAAAGACGAGAAATGTACAGTATATATACACATACCAACATACACAAATAAGCGTCCAACCTACAAGACAAACCAAGGTTCAATTCATTTGTTAACTCCAACATATGTGGCTGTGCCTGTCATACATAGGAAACTTATTTTGACCATAACTTAGTGAATGTATTATGTATTTTAAGGCAAAGTGAGAACGTAATTTTTTGCATTGTATATATCTGTGCATTCCTCTATTGTGGGAGGGTCAGGAAAGGAATAGAATTTTATTATGCCTCCGCACCGCGACAGCCAGAGGCATATTGATTTTGAGTTATCCATCCATCCATCTTCTGTCCCATTCTCGTGGACACGATATCTCAGTAACACTTTAACATTCACTAGGACTCAAGGATGAACGGAGTAGATTTTGGGGGTCAAAGACCAAAGGTCAAAGTTCACCGTGACCTCAGTGAAACACTTTCTAGCCATTACTCAAAACTTCACAGAGCAAGGGTGATGAAATTTCACAGAATTGGTTCATATTTTATATGATTCTGGATAAACAGATCACCTGAG